ATATTTAATTTACTGTTAATTTTTTTTATTGTTAAACGGTTTGAAATTTCTGTTTTAATTTTATCTTTGCTTTTACGGAGAACAAATATAAAACTATGAATTGAATATTGACATTCAACGACAAAATATCTTGTTTATGACTTCTGTATACATTGCAGTGATTTACGTGATGATACTTTTAACACCACTATAAATCTCGTTATCATTATCATTTTTATCTTATCTACGGCTAATAATAATGATGAAATGAATGTTTAAATTTGTCAACGCAACGTAACTAGTTCTATTAATAATGAGTAAGATGGTTAGTACGACTCAAAACATTGATGTTGACGCAGTTAATTCTATTACTAAAACTTAACTCTTCGAAACTATTGCTAATTTAAGTTGTTATCAAAATTTATATAATAATATATGTGTTTGATCGAAGGCGCACTTTTTTAGCGCTTTTTTGGAAGGTTACTTTATTATGCAATCTCATAGAGCAAAAATATTACTAATTGCAATTCGTATAATATCGTGATATAATCTTTTTGAAATCTTTTTTATATTATCGCATAATTCTTCTGAAAGAAATTCTTGTAAGAGATATTAGTGGATATCAAGAAACAATTATTATCTAAAGACAATTAAACGCAATTGATAAGATTGTCTACAAACAGTTTGATATCATTTTCATACAACATTTAGACGTACAAAAGAGATAAAAAAAAAGATGAAAATTTATGAATATTTATTACATAAATTAATTAAAAAGTATATATATATATATGTATTTAGGCATGTGTATGTATGTGTGAATGTTGAAATCCTGTAGAGTTATATGATGGATTGGATAATTGCTAATCGCAAAGCTTATCGAGAGTCCACCGTCGCATTGTTTAGATTCCTCGTTTAATAAGCTTTGCAATGTGTACAAAAATTGTACAACTGTTTGCGAATAATACAATTATTTATCAAAAGTCTGCAAAAATGATTCACTCAGTTTACCAATCACTTATTTGCGTCTTGAGAAATGCATTAGCACCACCGTGTGCATATACCGGTTACAACTTGGATATAAATACTTTTATAAAGTGTACGATATACAAGGTATCGTGAAAATACTAGGTACTAAGAAATTACGTATATCTTGAATCTTTTTTCTTTCTTATAGTATATTTTCTTTATATTACACTTTATTATATTATAATTTATATATTTATTTCTATTATTTCTATTTCTTATATTACGTTTATATAAATCTTATTTATTTAAAAATTATTTGTATTTTTAGATTAGATTGATTTACATTTTATACAGTATTTTTCTATGACTAATGGAAACGCAGAAATTAAAAAATACTTTCTATTTATCTTCTTTTAAATCAACCTTAGAGAAAGAAATATGCGGAAAAGTAATAAGTAAATTATTTGCATAAGTTATGTTTGAGGATTTTCGAGGATGTTCAACTTATGCATCTATAATATATATGTATAAGACCCCGTATATACTCTGCGAACTTAGACTCAACTTTCACCGATGCGCTTACATGTCGCTCTCGATGCAAGTGTACATCACATTACATACATACAGACATTATATGACATCAGTTTCTAACAGTTGAATTTTTTTTAATTTATATGAAAATTACTTTATTTGCAATCTCAAATAAGTTCACGTGTATTTTATGTGTTAATAGAAGAGATTATATACTATTGAATAAATAATATTAATTTATATTTATAATATATATAATGATGTTTTACATACTGTTTTTTTAATAATTATTCACATATATAAATATATTTCGAAAATCAAAGTAATATTACAGAAAGCATAATTTTTTCTAATAATTTCCTTTTGTTCGCTGACCGCTCTCTTTTCAACGAGAGCTTTTTGCATTTATTTGATTTTCTTTTTTTAATAATAATAGAGACTATAAAGATGGCAACAATTTTTAGGACATTTAATTTCGTATTTAATACTACGTTATTACGCGATTACTGTCACGTCAAAAAACTCGCAGTACTCGTTTTAAACACGTAACTCACTTTCTACGATCATTATTCGTAACAATATTTTCAGAACTGAATAATTTAACGTAATCCCATCGCGAAATGGCAATCGATATTTTAATAAGGAAATTGATGTCAAGTGAATCAATAATCTGCTCTATCAAATAATGGATCAACATAATTATTATTCAGTAATAAAATTTATAGTTATTACAAAATCATTAAGAAAATGTTTTTAGTGATTTATTAATTTAATAATAACTATTTAAATTTATTATTTAATTTAATAATTGAGTTTTTTTTGCTTTTATAATAGTTAGCTTTATTATTGTTTTATGTTTAATTATTTTGTTATTAGATTACTAAATATTACTAGCATTATTAATAAAATTACACTTATTTAAAAAAATTATTGAAAATTATTGGTATAGATAATTATTATTAGATTAAAATTATTATTTGTTTTATTAGACAATGCAATAATTGAAAAATTATTGCCTTGTTTTACTTATTCCAAGAACATTAATAATTCCAATTGATTCTCTTCCATTTCTCGTTTAAGAAACAAATTCCAGTACTGTGTGCACACTAAACTTTCGCGGGTAATTATCGCACGGACTTCCGGGATACTCACTTTCTATAAGTTCGATAGCGGAGGGCACATAATTTGTATCGCAGCTAACATCCGCATGGACATCGGCGAAGTTTTCCGTAACATCATCCATGGTCACGGATTTTTCACTAAATCAAAGAAAAGGAAATTCTGGAATAGTTTCTTACACTGCCGTACAAGGCTCGACTGTTTGCCACTCGCGGGCTTGACAAACTCGAAAGGTGCACTCGCGAGGTAACCTCGCGATATTTCGAGCGTCAGAAAGAGATAGAGAGATAAAGAGAGAGAAAGAGAGAGAGAGAGAGAGGATTTTCTTTTTTTAATAATAATAGAGACTATAAAGATGGCAACAATTTTTAGGACATTTAATTTCGTATTTAATACTACGTTATTACGCGATTACTGTCACGTCAAAAAACTCGCAGTACTCGTTTTAAACACGTAACTCACTTTCTACGATCATTATTCGTAACAATATTTTCAGAACTGAATAATTTAACGTAATCCCATCGCGAAATGGCAATCGATATTTTAATAAGGAAATTGATGTCAAGTGAATCAATAATCTGCTCTATCAAATAATGGATCAACATAATTATTATTCAGTAATAAAATTTATAGTTATTACAAAATCATTAAGAAAATGTTTTTAGTGATTTATTAATTTAATAATAACTATTTAAATTTATTATTTAATTTAATAATTGAGTTTTTTTTGCTTTTATAATAGTTAGCTTTATTATTGTTTTATGTTTAATTATTTTGTTATTAGATTACTAAATATTACTAGCATTATTAATAAAATTACACTTATTTAAAAAAATTATTGAAAATTATTGGTATAGATAATTATTATTAGATTAAAATTATTATTTGTTTTATTAGACAATGCAATAATTGAAAAATTATTGCCTTGTTTTACTTATTCCAAGAACATTAATAATTCCAATTGATTCTCTTCCATTTCTCGTTTAAGAAACAAATTCCAGTACTGTGTGCACACTAAACTTTCGCGGGTAATTATCGCACGGACTTCCGGGATACTCACTTTCTATAAGTTCGATAGCGGAGGGCACATAATTTGTATCGCAGCTAACATCCGCATGGACATCGGCGAAGTTTTCCGTAACATCATCCATGGTCACGGATTTTTCACTAAATCAAAGAAAAGGAAATTCTGGAATAGTTTCTTACACTGCCGTACAAGGCTCGACTGTTTGCCACTCGCGGGCTTGACAAACTCGAAAGGTGCACTCGCGAGGTAACCTCGCGATATTTCGAGCGTCAGAAAGAGATAGAGAGATAAAGAGAGAGAAAGAGAGAGAGAGAGAGAAAGAAAGAGGGAGAGAGAAGATGGTTGCGACTGTGAATAGTGAGAGTGAACCCCCACTTTTAGCTTGCCACCATTGGATCACGATGTTGTAATGAATTATCACTTGCAAAAAATGCAAGAGAGAGAAGGAGGGGAGAGAGAGAGAGAGAGAGAGACGAGAAAGAGAGATAGAGACAATAAGTAATAATAAAACGATATCTCTTTCCGCAAACTTTCTCCTTTTCTGCAAAACTTTCAATACATTGAACACTTTTTGCGAGTCTGTTTTATATTAGTTTTGCGGAAGATTAAATAAAGATTTAAAAAAATTTGCACAACAGGATTAAAAAGTTATATACAACAAAATTGCTAGTTAATTAGTAATTAGATATATTAGTATATTAATTAATGTTAGTAAACGGTCATATATATTTAGATTATATAGATTTGTTTAAATTTTCTGAAAAAAGAGATATGTGAGGAAATAAAAGCAGAGAAGAAACTACACGAAGGTATAAAAATTGGATATGTAAAAATCAATTTTTATACCTTTTACAATACTCACTGTCTTTGCATATTGCATCGATTGATGATGGTACAATAATATGGATCAGATCACTGTATACTAATGTATACAGCATAAACCTGTTTATTAAAATGTTCAAATGCCACTTGACGCGTTATGCAATATTATTTCGATGAAAATGCGTTAGAATATTTGCTCCAATGGAGAATGACATACGACCATGATAAGCGATTTGACTACAATACTTCATACATGTGGGAAAAGTCAAATAATTTATTCTTGTTCCGTTATCGCGACTCGAAACATAAATCTTCTTAATTAGTGTGTCGAAATTCGATTTTCGTTATTAGAGTTTGGAAGTTGTCTGACTTTTTATAAAATATAAAAAAGTATTTCTCTTAATAAATAAAATAAAAATATATAGAAAAAATAATTAAATAGAAATATCAGAAAATTATTACAAAATAGAATTTGTAATATAAATTATATTACACATTTTTATTGATAATTCATTCTCTCTCTTTCTTTCTCTCTCTCTCTTTCTCTCTCTCTCTCTCTTTCTTTCTCTCTAGTAGAGAATTTTCCAATTTTATATTATATTTATATCTTTTTTATTTGTATAATTTATATTTATATTTTATTTAATTATTGGACTGTCGTAATTATTATATTTTATAGATTTATAATTTTTTCTGTAAAAGAGCTTTTAATATATTTTCAATTTTTTAATCAAGTTATTAATTTATATTGATAATAGGAAATTGTCATCATAATATTATCTGACTTACTGTTAGTAACTCTTATCCATAACTTGTACTGGTTAGCGGTATTTATTGACTTAACTCTATCCGAAAGATGTTAGTCGTTATGTATCTTCAAATGATACTTGTTACCGACCGATGTTTGATCTAATTCTTCAATAGATCTGTAAACGTAAATATATATACGTTGGAGAGAATAAAATTTTAATTCTTACATTTTTATATTATTTTTATATTATTATTAATTTGATTTCTCTCAAATTTATTTTAAAATATTTTTTTTTACATTCTCGCATTTGTATATGTTCTTATAAGATAATATTTATATTATGATTTTTACATTAAAACAAATTTTTTTTCATATCTTCACTTTTACCGGAATGCGAGATTAAATTTTATAACTTTTGATTGATTTAAAGTAGCTTGAAGAATATGAAGAATCTTTTGAGAATTTAAACTTATGTTAAGTAGGAATGAAAGATTTCTTTCTTATCTCATTTTGAATTAATAATTCTTTACAACGGAATGTAGAAAATTGTTCTTTATAGATTTCCAAGATCTAAAGTAACTTTGTTAGACGATTAAGAAAGCAATTTCATCTTTGATCTTGATGAATATATTTGTAGACATTTTTATAAAGCGCTACATTATATCTTTTCTAATAAATATAACCTTTTTATTTCCGTCTTTGTGAATATTACATTTTACTGAAATGTAAAATACAGATTTCTCGAATTTGTAACTGCACTTTTCTCATATGTAACTCACAATGTTATCCATAAAAACCGCTTTGTAATATTGAACGGAAAACTTTCGACATTTGACTTGAAAAAATTCACATTATATACCTGCAATATGCGGACAGTACAAAAAAATTTCGGCACGTCGCTACAGTGCGATTGGGAGAAAAAAAAATTGGAATCCGGAGAAATGATTGATGGCAAACTCGATGCTGCAATTTCGATTTGTGCATCCGATTCGTTAATATTTTCTTCTGGTCTTTATTGTTTCAGTTAGAACCAGCTGTGATATAATATATTGCATGTATTCAAATACGCATACATACATAAATTTATATTTTAATTTAATATAAGAATTAAAATGAAATAAGAAAGTAAATATTTCTTAATTTAGCAGTAAAGAAAATTAAATAGGAATGACATTTTATTTAATAAGACTCGATCGCTTTAAAATTTACCTAAAATATAGTTGTTAAATAAAAATTATACAATAATTATGTTAATTAATTAATATAATTATCTTGTAGTATAATTTTTTTATATATAAT